AGAAATTTTTTCCACTTGCATCTTAGTCCACAGTCTTCTGTTTCTGATAGTTGCTTAATATGATCGTTTATTTTATCTAACCTATCACCGATATATCTATAATTTAAGAAATATTTAGGAAAAGCCAAAAAATTTTTATGCATAATAGAATTAAAACAAAAAAATTGTCCGCTCATTATCTTCTTTTACATCAAATTTTTAATTTTATAGATACGGAAGTGTATTACAATATAACATTAACATACAATAATTTAATATATTTTTTGTATTGTACTTAATTTAATATATTTATTTTGAAAAATTAAGAATTTATCAAGTTAAATTACCTAAAAGTTTTAATAATACTCGCGGTAAAATGATTATAACAAAATAAGATTTGCAAACCTTAGAAGAAGAATAAACGTTATATCCGTGATGCTGTTAACGTGTATAGAATAAGACGCAACGAAAGGCATAAATATGGCCCTTGTATCATGGAGCATTCCTATGCACACTAAAGAATCCAAAGTCCATGTTATGCAAATCATTAAAAACCACATAATCAACGCTTTTCTTGTCAAATTTCTAATTTTATAGTATTTTTTGGGTATACCGAGCTCTTCCAATGTATCATCCACAAGATCTAACTTTCTTGTATACTGCCGATATTTCTGAGGATAACAGCAGTCAGAAAATTTATAAAACTAGGAGACTCTTCTTCTGATCAAGAGATACGATAGTGTCTCGCGCTAAGTATACGCGAAACGAGACCGCACCGTGTTTAATATACATAAGGCAATTGCACTTTTAACTTCAATAAAGATAAATTAATATATAAAATATATTTCAAAAATAGAGAAATTTATTTTATCACATTTTGCTTCCTCATAGAGAAAGCTTTGTGATGGTAAAAAATTTTTTCGAGATTTTGATGGAAATACGTTTAGAATGTTCCAAAATGTCGAGAAATCATATTAGTTCTGCTACTCTATGTTATTTGTTTCATTTTAGATATATCACACTTTATTAAAACATTGATAAATAAAACTCATACCTCATACTTGCAAATGGTAATAATTATGGATGTTATTGCTGCAAGCAAATTTACTGTCATCCCAAAAGTTATTAATCCAGTATATACTCCTTTCAAAAACAGATAGGTCATCATATAATATAACACATAAGCATAAACACTCCACACAGTTAATATATAGAAAATACTCAAGCGATATCTAGGCTGGTTTAAAGGATATCTAAAAATTCCGAAACCTAAAAAAGAGGCGGCTAAGAAAATAGGACTTAGCGCCTTTTCTACAGTGTCGATCATAATAACGGAGACTCTCGCAATTCTATGTGTTAACTGTTGAAATTTTCAGTTTGCAACGTTCACATTGTGCAAACGTCACATTTATTATTATGATGAAATGGCTACATAATTATATCGTAAATGT